TTTCCATAGATAATATATATATATATTATCTATGTTTTTTTCGGATCACTACCTTTTGTTCCACAAAACTTTTGTTCCACGATATACCTATTTATTCTAAATTAATTAAGGTCCAAATTTTACCTTTAGTTCCACAAAATATTTATTCCGAAGGACTTTTGTTCCGCAAAACATTTGTTCCTATAGACTTTTTTTCCATAAACCATTTATACCAATACACGTCTTTGTCCCACGAATATTTGTTCCAAACGTGGAACAAGTGTTCTGTGGAATAAATATTTATGGAACAAAAGTAGATGGAAACAGATATTTTATGGAACAAAAGTCCAATGGAACAAATGTTTTGCGGAACAAAGTCTGTTGGAATAACTTTTTTGTGGAACATAGTTTATTTGGGACAAACTACGTCTTGCCCAATTCCCAACCACCTCATATTAATATATCATATTATAATTATTATAATAATCTGGTATCACACTTTCACAATAATATACGACAATATTGTATTCATGTCTCATAAGTCATAATTTCTATTTTCTATTTAAGCCGATTTAATCAGGACCTGTTAAAGAAGGAATATGCACCTATATTGATTATAATTTATAACGCCGAACCATTGTATGGAACAATAATTCCTCGTAACCAGTCAACAATTTAATTAAGATAATATTATTTATCCTATATGGGGTTATATAAAGCATTAGAGACTAGTGCCTAAAGGTGCGACTGTGCTAGTACAAAAATGAGGAAGCCATTTTCAATAAGCAACCGTCAATGGGCATGCAGCTTATTTGAACATTTAAATTTTGCCATTTGGTGTTATCTGTTTTTAAAGAACCCTTTATAAATGTTGGCATGTAACTACTTAATATAATCTTTAATTGATACTATTATACTTTAAATTGCTAAAAAACACACCAATATGACAATATGTAGGTACTATTGTCTACTTAGGACATACRCCTACCTATATTCTTATCGTATACAAAATATAACATTGTACAGGATATGGCACATTGTGACGTTATCTGTCGTTACTGCAATATCATATTAGTGACGTTTTATAATAATTATTATTGTATTCAGTGGCGTGGCAAAGAGTAATCTCAGAGGCAATTGCCTCTGGGATTTTTCAAATATTGGGGGGTGGGTATCAAGGATTGTACTTATTTACATGCAAATACATGTGGGGTGGGTCTTCTATAAGGGGGTCTATATTTTTAGTTCACCACGCCACTGATTGTATTATATAAAATTATATATTAATTATTAATATATAGGTTGGCAGTCCCAAGTGGGTATCGCTGTAATTAATGTGTTAAATTTGAATAATGTTTTTGAAGTAGCACCTACGTCCTACACAGACATACAGTAGGTATACACAATGATAATTTCAAAATATTTAGGCCAACAATTTTTAGCGTGGTTAATTTAAGAG